CTTCTCTCTCTCTCTCTCTCTCTCTTTCTTTCTTTCTTTCTCTCTCTCTCTCTCTCTCTCTCTCTCTCTCTCTCTCTCTCTCTCTGACAACATGTGTCTCTTACACCTTTGATCTTACCAGTTGTCCCAGCTTTTCCAAATTATCCCGTCATATAGAGCCAACAAAGAGTGACGTCTGCTTTTCCCCCTAATCTTTTTTCCCGTGTGGTCCATTGGTATCAACAGTTACAAGAAAAAGAAGATGAAGATACGCTTGTATCCCCAGTTACAAGAGAAAGAAGATGAAGTTACACTGGTATCTGCCGTTACAAGAGAAATAAGATGAAGTTACACTGGTATCTGCCGTTACAAGAGAAAGAAGATGAAGTTACACTGGTATCTGCCGTTACAAGAGAAATAAGATGAAGATATACACTGTTATTAACAGTTACAAGAGAAAGAAGATGAAGATACGCTTGTATCCCCAGCTACAAGAGAAAGAAGATGAAGTTACACTGGTATCTGCCGTTACAAGAGAAATAAAATGAAGTTACACTGGTATCTGCCGTTACAAGAGAAATAAGATGAAGATACACTGTTATTAACAGTTAAATGAGAAAGAAGATGAAGATACACTTGTATCAACAGTTACCAGAGAAAGAAGATAAAGATACTCTGGTATCTACAGTTACAAGAGAAAGACGATAGAGATATGCTGCTTTTAACAGTTACAAGAGAAAGAAGATGAAGATACAATGGTATCTACAGTTAAAAGAGAACGAAGACTAAGATACACTGGTATCCACATTTACAAGAGAAAAGATGAAGATACACTGGTATCAATCGTTACAAGAGAAAGACGATGAAGATACACTGGTGTCAGCAGTTAAAAGAGAAAGAAGAGGAAGACAATGTTATCTACAGTTACAAGAGAAAGAAGATGGATATGCACTGGTATCAACAGTTACAAGAGAAAGACGATGAAGATACGCTGGTAATAACAGTTACAAGATAAAGAACATGAAGATACAATGGTATCTACAGTTACAAGAAAAATAAGATAGAGATACAATGGTATCTACAGTTACAAGAGAAAAAAGATGAAGATACACTGTATTAACCGTTATAAGAGAAAGAAGATAAAGATACACTGGTATCTACAGTTACAAGAGAAAGAAGATGCAGATACACCAGGAATTCCCTAAGAAATCTCGAAACCGACGAAATGTGGTTGTATAAAATTAAAGATCCTTAAATTATCTTTTATGATTTAAACAGTCTTTTTTTTAACTAATATGTCTTCTTCTTTTGTCAAAGTCTGCTTGTGCCGCTAGGCGTCGCAGTCTATCAGATGATCGGCAACCGAGCCAGGGCGCGCTCAGTCGCTTCATATGCCGTGATGTTATGAAGTCTCAAGTTGTCAGTGACTCCTTCAATCCAAGAGAAATAAGATGAAGTTACACTGGTATCTGCCGTTACAAGAGAAAGAAGATGAAGTTACACTGGTATCTGCCGTTACAAGAGAAATAAGATGAAGATATACACTGTTATTAACAGTTACAAGAGAAAGAAGATGAAGATACGCTTGTATCCCCAGCTACAAGAGAAAGAAGATGAAGTTACACTGGTATCTGCCGTTACAAGAGAAATAAAATGAAGTTACACTGGTATCTGCCGTTACAAGAGAAATAAGATGAAGATACACTGTTATTAACAGTTAAATGAGAAAGAAGATGAAGATACACTTGTATCAACAGTTACCAGAGAAAGAAGATAAAGATACTCTGGTATCTACAGTTACAAGAGAAAGACGATAGAGATATGCTGCTTTTAACAGTTACAAGAGAAAGAAGATGAAGATACAATGGTATCTACAGTTAAAAGAGAACGAAGACTAAGATACACTGGTATCCACATTTACAAGAGAAAGATGAAGATACACTGGTATCAATCGTTACAAGAGAAAGACGATGAAGATACACTGGTGTCAGCAGTTAAAAGAGAAAGAAGAGGAAGACAATGTTATCTACAGTTACAAGAGAAAGAAGATGGATATGCACTGGTATCAACAGTTACAAGAGAAAGACGATGAAGATACGCTGGTAATAACAGTTACAAGATAAAGAACATGAAGATACAATGGTATCTACAGTTACAAGAAAAATAAGATAGAGATACAATGGTATCTACAGTTACAAGAGAAAAAAGATGAAGATACACTGTATTAACCGTTATAAGAGAAAGAAGATAAAGATACACTGGTATCTACAGTTACAAGAGAAAGAAGATGCAGATACACCAGGAATTCCCTAAGAAATCTCGAAACCGACGAAATGTGGTTGTATAAAATTAAAGATCCTTAAATTATCTTTTATGATTTAAACAGTCTTTTTTTTAACTAATATGTCTTCTTCTTTTGTCAAAGTCTGCTTGTGCCGCTAGGCGTCGCAGTCTATCAGATGATCGGCAACCGAGCCAGGGCGCGCTCAGTCGCTTCATATGCCGTGATGTTATGAAGTCTCAAGTTGTCAGTGACTCCTTCAATCCATCTTCTTCTTGGTCTTCCCCTGCCTCTTGGTGTTTCGATTTTCATGTTGTATGCTCTTGATGCTAGCATCGTTGGTTCCATTCTCATTAGGTGACCAAACCATTTCATTCTTTGCTTCTCAATAAATTTAACGATGGGTATAGTTCCAATAGTTCTTGTAATCACATCGTTTCTCACTCGATTTCTTCTGGTTTTATTCGCAGCCATTCTCAAACATCTCATTTCACAGGTGGTTAGTCTTCTCTCGTGTTCTTTTGTTAATGTCCAAGTCTGACATTGATAACCTAATGTCGGTATAAAGATTGTATTTATAATTTGTCTTTTTATCTCAGCTGGGACAGCAGGGTGTTTTAAAATTGGGGCAAGCTGGTATGCGACATTGTTGGCTTGTTGGATTCTTGCTTCGATCTCTCTGTCTATTTTACCATTGAATGTAAAGATACTTCCCAAGTATTTAAATTCTTTTTTTTTCCACAAAAATCTGCTCTAGAAACAATATATGAGAACTAATATATAATCGGTATAATTCAGTTAGTTGAGTATCCTTTACAGGACGTTGCAGAACCAACCCCAGGCATTTTTTTTTTTTTTTTTTTTTTTTTTTTTTTTTTGCTGTTTTAATTTCTCTAGCAAATTTACCTTCAGTAGTTTGCTATTGCTTACTGGATGGTAGGCTCTCCATACCATAGTGGAAACCAACGCAAGGCGCAAGGCACGCAGCTGGGATCGAACCCAGCACATCAATATTATTAAGCGCGTTCGCTTTGCCTTAGCCACAGCCGCCGACATTCAGCATATTACGTGGTTAAAAAAATATCAACATCATTTCAAACCTTTTTAGAATCACCTCCTTCAACAGGGATTTCTTTATAGTGGCTACTGCCAGAGATACCATTGATCAACAGCTAGGGAATTATGGAGCAGGATTTCAACTGAACAGATCCTCCCTCCCTTCAACATCCTTAACAGTAGTAGACAGTTTTCAATCAACCTTTCAAGTCTTGATTGGCTTCTGGCCCCTGGAAGGACTTTTGACAGCTTTGATAAAGTGGCTTTGTCTAGAAAATTGATGAAGTATTAAGGGATACTGCATAAAGTCATTGCAGCGTCCGTGACTAAGGCGTTGCTAGTCTGACTCGTAATTCCAGCGTACCGCGATCGAAACCCACTGCTCGCTGCGTGGATTTTTATCATGGTATAGGGCGTCGCAGTCCCCTCTGTGGCTAAGTCGATGCGAATGCTTCGCTTCGTAATGCCGGGATGCCGGGTTCGATCCCAGCTGCGGGCCATGCGCCTTGCGTTGGTTTCGACAGTGGTATCAAGAAAGCGGAGCGTCCAAAAAGCAATGGCAAACTACTGGAGGTAAATTTGCCTAGGAAAAGCCTAAATTGGGTACTAGGATGGCTGTCCTGGGGAAGTAAAGACGGCCGGTGTAATGCTGACCTCATTACCCACCGAGTGCCGATTGGTCTGTAAAAATATGGGACGCTCTTCCCATATACCTGATGCGCATAAGGCGTGAAAAGTTTAGTTTTGTTCCTTTACTTTTGTATAGTCATTCACATAATTGAGCCAGAATCTAATGCTGTTTTCGTAATTGGGTGGGAGCTGGAGACTAATTCATACATTTTACACTAGAAGAGATTAATTTTGTGGGGTCATATGTAATATTTTGATTGACTATACTCATCATTTTTTAAGACAACAACAGTTACCACCCAAAAACAAACTGAATTTAATTGACCCATTTGTAAACAACTTATGGTTCTTTGATGCCATTTCCATCCTATCTAGGGAAAACATAATATCTTAAGCTGACAAAGGGGTCATTGCATTAATATTTTGAGCTGAAACCGAGTCACCCTTCTAATATTTTGAGCTGAAAACGGACCTCCCACTAATATTTTGTGCTGAACACGGACATCACATTCAAATTTTGAGCTGAAAACCAGTCACCTCGCTAATATTTTGAGCTGAAAACGAGTCACCTTCTAATATTTTGAGCTGAAAACGAGTCACCTTCTAATATTTTGAGCTGAAAACGAGTCACCTCGTTGATATTTTGAGCTTAAAACCAGTCACCTCGCTAATATTTTGAGCTGAAAACGAGTCACCTCGCTAATATTTGGAGGTGAAAACACACATATTCACAAACACAGTTTTGTCATCATCATCATCATCATCATCATGTCCCATGACGATACGTGTATACAGTCTCTTGTCCAGTCCAATTCATTTGGCCTATACCCTCAGTTATTTTTTTTTTTTTTTTTTTCATTTTTTTTTTTTTTTTTTTGCTTGATTCCCATTCCCCTTTTCCAGATTTATCGTTCCAGTCGCCACTCCGCTTTTCTAGTTCATTACTTTACATGTTTTTTTTTTTTTTTAGACATAATAAATGTGGACCCCCCCCCCCCCCCCCCTTTTCTTCCTGCTACACCCGTATTTTTTAAATTTCTTGTTGTTGTTGCAGGTTTCGTCAGAATTACAGTCTGTCTTATTTTGCTGCAGTTTATTGGATACCTCAAATTTCGCGACAACAGGACCTCTGGCAGCACGTTGTCTTTGTTGTGTGAGTCACTGTTTGATTTTATTTAGTATAATCCCTTGAGGTGGAGGGGGCAGCGTCCGTGGCTTTGGCGTTGCGAGTCTGACTAGTAATTCCAACGTACCGCGATCGAAACCCACTGTTGGCGGCGTAGATTCGTATCATGGTATGGGGTGTCGCAGGTCGACCCAGCCTAAAATGGGTACTAGGATGGCTGTCCTGGTAAAGTAATGCTGACCACATTATCTATCCAGTGCCGATTGGTCTGTAAAAATATTGCTGCTCTTATCACATGCCTGATGCGTCTAAGGCGTTTACTTTACCTACTTGATAAGAATGGGGAAATTAAAAAAAAAAAAATGACCTTGGCTCCTATGTCGACCCAGCCTTGAGTGGGTACCAGGTACATCATGGGAAGTAAAGGAGGCCGGGGTAATGCTGACCACATCACCTACCAAGGGCTGTTTAGTCTATAAAATATAGGTCTAGCCCTGCATACCTGCTACACCTGAAGGCGTGGTAGAGGGTCCTTTACTTACTTTTAACACCACTTAGGAGATTGGCTGGCGGCGTCCGTGGCTAAGGCGTTGCGAGTCCGACTCGTGAGCCAGCATACCGCGATCGAAACCCACTGCAGGCTGCGTGGATTTTTGTCGTGGTATGGGACGTCGCAGGTCGACCCAGCCTAAAATGGGTACCAGGATGGGCTGTCCTGGGAAAGTAAAGACAGCCGGCGTAATGCTGACCACATTACCCACCGAGTGCTGATGGTCTGTAAAAATATGGGACGCTCTTCCCATATGCCCGATGCGCCGATAGGCGTGAAAAGGGATCTTTACTTTACTTTACTAGGAGATTGGCTGAATCAGCTGTACATACATGTCGTAACTGTAACCGTCTCACAGGTTTATACTGGTTTATACACCGGATCAGCAACATTACTCATGGGGTAGCAACTCCTAAATGCTCCATTATACTTTTAACTAAAGCCTGAATCAGATGAAAATCAGAGCAGTGTATGAGTTCCGTAGCACTGGTGAGGATCCTGAAATACTTTGGGTAGACTATTACCTCCAAATTCTGGCTGGGCAGGGCCTTTAGGTTAGTCTTTTCGATTTCCAACTGTCAAGGAATTTTTTTAAGTGCGCAAGAATACACACGGGTGTCCGATCTTTCTACCCAGAGACCAGGGGAAATTACTAGAAGTCCATGTGAGAAAATCCCAGCCTTCACTGGGGCCTAAGCCCGGGACTTCGAGCACTCGGGACGGATGGCATGCCTCGAGACCACCCAGTTCCCATAGGAGTCAGCCCCACTCAGACCCTCTCTCCGAACATGCCGTGAAAGGTGGAGACTGTTATGCTTAATTAAGAGTGGCATGCATAGCTTCAGACGACCCAGGTAGTTAGAATCCTCTTAATAATGTTCCCTAGGATATACAGCTGTTTTAGGAAACGAACAAGCGAAAGACTGGCTGGCTCTGCACATTTAAGTGATGGATTGATGCACGACGAGCTAGATGTTGTACGGTCACTTTGTGGGCCGGTGAACGGCGCGGAAGCACAGATGGGTTATCATGGTCTGAAGACAATGGTGCTGCGAGGGGTGGCCCTGGAATCTGGGTGACGATAAGCACTCCAGGGAAAGGTGAGACGCATATACAGTCAGACTGCTATTAGTACTACTGGAACTGGAACTCTGTGATTGCTGCTGAAGTTGGGGACAAAGCGCTTATGAGAACATCCCGTGTGCAGTGATATCGATTCCTTTTTAAACAATAAACTTTTATTTAGTGAAAAAATGTGATGTCTCCACACTAAAGGTTCTGAGACTGTCGACCAGATTGGCCGACACATAGAAAACATTAGGCAACAACATTACTAATCCTATTTGAGAGCATAATAATAATAATGTGACATATGGTAAATACATATATTAGTTATTTAGTTAGTTTGTTGTGATATGATCATTGCACCCTGGATATGTCCATAGGTGATCAAATCCTTCCCTCAATATAAATCCCAGCGTTCTGTGACCAATAGTGCCAGTTTTTTTTTTTTTTTTTTTTGATTGATAATTCTGTTTGTATGTCCGGTGTGACTCTCGCTTTTGGCTATGCCGATCTTATCTTCTGAGTCTTTAATTCTGGTGAGCAATGTAGAAACGCTGTCTCGAAATTCCTACACCCTTACCACTTCTCTGAGGGCATTATTAAAAGCAGCATGATCTATGGCAGTGATAGCGGATCCAGCCAACTTATCATCCCTTTGGTTTTCAACGACGCCAGCGTACCCGGAACGTAAATAAAGATGACGTTACTCACAGCTGACTTCTGTAATGGCTCAGTAAACTGCTTTCGCACAGAAGCTGCCTGGATCTTCCTGATCATGCTCATGGAATCGCCAAGTCCACATGCACGGGTATAGTCTTGTGTTCTTAGACATACGACTGCTTGCGTTACCTCCATTTCCTTCGTCGTCATGCTGCTTGTTGACATGGAGAAATGACCTTTCTCTGGCTTCTTTGATTGTTCTCCCCGTTGAACGTGCTGTGAGCTCCCATACACTTGTTTTTTGTCGTATAACAGATCCGCCTATGTAGATCACTACATCTGCTTCGTCGCAGTTAACGCTGATGAGAGCGTTGACCTCTGCATTGACCCTAACAGCATTCTCCTCCCTGTATCTTCTGTCCAGCTTGACAATACAAGAAACGTTGCAATAAATTATAGTTTATTAATATTATTATTCTCTTATTATATTATATTATTTATTTATTTTTTTATATTATTATATTATTATATTTTTAATGTAATAATGTATTTGAAATGTACAATCACATCTTCTAAGAATAATTTATACACATGGTTAGTGTGGACTGCGTGGCCTCTGTACAAAATGTGTGGGGGAGGGGGAGGATAATTTCCCAACACTTAAAACAACTGGGGGCTGGGGGGGGGGGGGAGAGGTCAAAGCTAAGCTTCCACGTTCCGTCGCCTATGTTGTTTTCTATCCCTAGATACCTTAATTTGAGAAAAAGTAATAGCTTTACGTTAGTTCTACATCCTGACAGAGTTGGGTGTTTGTGTGTGGGTTTTTCTTTAATGGCCTTGGCTCCCAGGTGGACCCAGTCTCACATGGGTACTAGGTAAAGTCCTGGAAAGTAAAGGCAGTGGGCGTGATTCTGACCACATCACCCTTAAGTACCGATTGTCTATACAAGATATGTCTAGCTCTACATGACAGGTGAGTCTTAAGGCGCGAAAAAGTGTCTTTTGAGGGCTGGATGTTCGGTTGTTGTTGTTGTTGTTTTTTGTTTTTTTTATTCCGTTGGGGCACATAAGATGTTTGGTTACATTTGTGTATTAGAAATCTGAATGTTGACAGTGATGGTGAAAGGGACGGAGAGTCAATGGGTTCAGTTGTTGGAACTTGCTGAGATCATGCGCGGATGCAGGGCTATCATGTTTACGGAATGCTGTTGGGCACGTTCGGCTAGTATACCAGAGCTGTACTTGATTCCAGAGGCGCACATGAATGCGTTGAAGTGCAGACGAATTATTCTGTTTAATGCAGGCAATAGCACTTTCGCTAAGCGTGGTATTGCCTTCGGGAGTCAGTCAATGACTCTCAGTGGCCCCCAGAATGATACAAATGCCGCCCTCTCTACTACCACCATTAACTTTAACGGGATGGTAGCGCACACAGTATAAAACGCTGGTCTAGCCAAATCTGCATATCTCAGTTCTGGGATAGGTTTACCTCAATTGTATGTAGTTCGAAGCTGTCACATGCCTCATCACTAATTGCATTTTACATAAATCTGTCAGCTCTTATGTTGAAAACGGGGGGTCTAATTAATACTCTGTAATAATTATCCCGTGTACCCTTCAGGTTTGCCTTCACCGTTACCATTTATAAAGTTTTCAAAGCTCATGAATGCGCCTGGAATTCTTACCGTCTCCAGTAATGCTAACACTAGTATTTACCGTCTGTTTTATACAGACGAAAATTTTTGGTGGTTAGCTCACCTCTGAATCTTAGTCTTTATCTAGAAACAGATCTGCACATACGTTTAACATATATGTATGCAGGCACTTGTTCCCTACCTCTCGGCTTAAAGACAACGGCAATTATAGTAAAATCGTCCCCGTGTGGGATGCAATTTTTCGTTATTTGAGTGAGTGAGTGACTTTCTACCCCACTAGGACATCACACAAGCGATAAACACTCGATGACACAACGTGCCACCATGTGGATGAGGATCACCGTGGAGAGGTCCCAGAAACCGCGTTCAGACATTTGGCCATATTTATGGCCTGCCTATTTTGCGGCCCCTGGCAAAAGCCAGAGTGGGGCTTCAAATAACAAAAAATTACGTCCTGAAAAGGACGTAAAGACTTTGATAATTGGTATTTTTATTTCAAACTTTTTTCCTTTTTTTTTTTTTTTTTTGCCGGGCGCCCTGAATGTGTCCGGGCCATAAATATGGCCTAACGGCTGAAAGGGGTTTCTGGGACCTCTCCACGGTGGATCTTTATGAGCATGGTGGCACTTTGTGTTTATCGCTTGTGTGATTTCCTCGTGCGGTACAATAAGAGAGGGTTTAGAGAGAGAGAGAGAGAGGGGGGGGTGAGAAAGAGAGAAAACGCTTCTTTAAGTTTCAAGGGAGATAACAGCGGAATACAGAGTCTAAATTTTTTCAAGGGACGTAAGAGAAGATTACTCAAATGTATAAAACTCCAGTGAATGTTAACTTTTAGTGATTGTGACAGTAAACTATGAGTATTTGCACATAAACCTTTCTGCCAGTATCTGTTATACTCGACACTTCACCTAGAATGGCATTAGCAAATTTAAATTATCTTATAGGAACTATATGGAAGGAGTTGTTAGTTTAATGAAAATGTACAGACAGTCAGAACGACACCTAAACTTTAAATAATATAGTAACTTACACATTCTTACATTCTTATTAGGACGTAAATTTTGTTATTTGAAGCCCCACTCTGGCTTTTGCCAGGGGCCACAATATAGGCAGGCCATAAATATGGTCAATTGTCTGAACGCGGTTTCTGGGACCTCTCCACGGTGATCCTCATCCACATGGTGGCACATTGTGTCATCGGGTGTTTATCGCTTGTGTGATGTCCTGGTGGGGTAGAAAGTCAGTATAGTAACTAGTTTTGTCATTTCTTTATGCGATTCAATTTTTAGCTATTTTCTAATCCTACTTTGGCTTATTGCCAGGGGCCCTACATATAATAACCGGGCTTGAAATTTGGCCTAACGACTGAATGGGGTTTTAGAACCTCTCCACGGGTAATCCTAATCTGCCTGGTGGCACTTTGTGTCATCAGGTGTTTATCGCTTGTGTGATGTTCTAGTGGAGTACGACCTACCTTCCCATAGTACGCACGCACGCGAGCACACACACACACACACACACACACACATACACACACGTCAAGCCTCTAGACACACACACACACATATATATATATATATATATATATATATATATATATATATATATATATATATATATATATATATATATATATAAACACACACACACACATTAGAGTGGAATAAGTCACTCTTCTTTGGTACCGAGCTGACAAGATGTACCGATCATCATCTCTGTTGGTGCAGCTAGGGGGACCTGGCCGGTGGCGATCCACCCTACTTCCTGCTGTCTGAAATCTCTCCAATATTATTTGGATACTAGATAGTGGCGTGACACTGCACGCCGTGTAGCAACTTTACTTACTTTAGACCTACCATTAAAGCCATCATTCTTTCCTCGTTCTTTCTAGTGTCGAAGATTTTTTCTTGGTGGCCTTGTTTTCGCATGTGATGAAACAGCCATAAGTATGCTGATTGTTCAAAAAATTAGGTGTGCAGTCTGTTCATGAACAGTCGCCATTTCAAAAAGGAGGTCAATAAGCAGGATTACTTTACCTGTCTGGTTGCAGCGAAGTTTAGAAAAATAAAAGACTGATTCAAAGTGTGAATGTTATGGTCAGCAAACAGAATTGCTTGTGGTCATCATGGTTGTTGGGGAGTTTATGTTTATGTTTATTCCACGGATCGGTGAGTTGTTTTCATGCTTCACGTGTAAAGAGGACTGTCTCGAAAAGATAATGTACCAATTTTTACCAAAAACTGTTGTTCTTTAATCATTCTATGCGCTTACAGAGTAGCCCTTGACTTTTGATGAGTAGTATATATGCATATTTATATATATAAAATATATATATATATATATATATATATATATATATATATATATATATATATATGTGTGTGTGTGTGTGTGTATAATTTTATATATATATATATATATATATATATGTGTGTGTGTGTGTGTGTATAATTTTATATATATATATATATATATATATATATATATACATATATATGTGTGTGTGTGTGTGCGCGCGCGCGAGCGAGCGTGTGTGTGTGTTTGTGTGTGTTCAAATACTTGATCATTGATTGTGTTTTCATTGTATTCCAGCGGAAAATATAAAAACTTGGCAGCTTTCACAACCTGCTGCCGCCGCTGCCGATACCAACCAAGTCACAAGTTGGCAGTCATTTAAACTCCTAATACAGGAGGTACCCGATTTGTTAAACGCTCAGTTAAAGTTCAACAACATGGTGAGGCCAGTTTCTGTGAAATTACCCTGTGTGCCTCATTCAGCATCGAGTAAGTATACATGAACCTACATTACTTTTCTTCACAATTAGTTAGTTAGTTCTTCTTTTTCTTCTTTTGTCAATATCTACTTATGCCGCTAGACTTCGCAGTTCATTATACGATCGGCAGCCAGCCAGGGCTCGATCAGTCACTTGATATGCCATGATGTAATGCAGTCTCAAGGTGTCAGTGACTCTTTCAATCCATTTCTTCTCTGTCTTCCTCTGCCTCTTGATGTTTTCATTTTTAGGCTGCACGCTCTTGCTGCTGGCATCGTTGGTTTCATTCTCCTTAAATGGCCATTCTTTGTTTTCCATTAAATTTGACAATGGGTGTTGTTCCAACAGTTCTTGTAACCATGTCGTTTCTCATTCGATCTCTTCTAGTTTTATTCACAACCATTCTTAAACATCTCATTTCACCTGTGGTTAGTTTTCTTTCGTGTTCTTTTGGCAAAGTCCGAGCCTGACATTGGTAAACTAAAGTCTGTATACATATTGTATTGTGGTCTTTTTGTCCCTGTTGGGATAGCAAGGTGCTTTTTTTTTTAAATTGGAGCAACTTGGTAAGTGACATTGTTGGCTTGCTAGATTCTCGTTTCTATCTCTCTGTCTATTTTTCCATTGTGTGTAAAGATGCTTACCAAGTATTTAAATGCTTACACTTGTTTCAGACTTTGATCTTTGATCTTAACGTCGATAGTTTGTTGCTCTCTACTTATTCTCATGACTTTGTTTTTCAATATTGATCTTCATGTAATGTTTAAACCATCGTATAGTTGGTTTATGTGGTCCTGCAGCTGTTTACTTTCACTGTGGAATATGTACCGATCGTCGGCAAAGAGCAGCTCACTGAAGTCCTCCTGTTTATTGTAATCAGGTGGTGTTATGTCTATTTTATTTATACTGTCCATGAATATTATAAAAAGTAGAAATGAAAGAGAACAAATCAACATTAAATGTTATAAAAAGTAAAAATGAAAGAACACACCCTTGTCTTACTCCTGATGTTACTGGGAACCAGTCTGTGAGACCAGCTCTCGTTTTGACGGCGCTTTCACTTTATAAAAAGCTCTTACACGATCCAGCAATTGTCCATTCATACCATAGTTTTCAAGGACATCCCATAGTAAATCTCTGTTCACTCTGTCAAAAGCCTTTTTATTTATTTATTTATTTATTTATTTATTTATTTATATATTTATTTTTAGAAGCGATGATTACTTAGTGTCCGTGTTCTATTGTCTTTTCGCTAATTTGCCTTAGGGCGAAAACAGTGTCAGTACACCCTCTTCCTTTCCTAAATTCCACCTGTGTTCAGCTAAGAATCGGTTCTACAACAGATCTAATTCGTTGAATCAGAATCTTGGCAAACACTTTACCTACGTGCCTTAAAAGGGAGATGCCTCTTTAAGTGTTACAATCTTGCTTATTGCCTTTTCTTTCTCCATACTGGTACTATAATAGTTAGTCGACAGATTATCCTCATTGCACATAAGGTCCCCTCCTCATCAATTCCCGCAGCGTTTAAGGCTGAAAACACCAGACCTGTATTGGTTTTTTTAAATTTTTTTATTCTTCTGTGGCTCCCTGCATTGTGCTCTGACTGGTCACACTCCCTTTAGCATGCTGTTCTTGCAGTTTGATCATGGCTGCAGATTCTCAGTTATCACCTGGTTCTCGCAAACGTCTCACTTCTCATAGAGCATTCACAGTATCAGCCCGACACCGAAGCCTTATCTTCACAATTAGGATATGTGTGTAAGTGTGTGTGTGTGTTTTTATTTTATTTTTTATTTGTCACGCCTAGTCGCTGGAACCTCAGGGCTCAAACCCCAAGAAACCCCTTCCAAAATCTCTAAGCAAGGGCTCAGGCCCTCCCTCTCCCGCTCCCCAATAATTTTGAAAGGGGTCTGGGCTGTCCACTTTAATCGTGTGTAAATATTCTCTTTAACAGTTTATGTTTTTACATTAACAGTATACGGGGTCATAGAAAATTGTTACCGTGACTCAAAACTGTCATTATAATAGAAGTACTTAGTGGATATACATGTGTGGCATATTAAAATGTTCAAACAAGTTTCAAGGTTTGTGTGCCATTGCGTGAAAGTGGAGCATCTGTGGGAGCCAGAATGAATGAATGAAGTTCAACCCCACCGGGCCCGCACAACGAGCGATAAACATCCGGGGACACAAAGTGCCACCATTCAGATAAAAATCACCCAATCGGAAGTCCCAGAAGCCTATGTTCACCCGTTAGGTTATATAAAGGCCCCTGACAACAGCCGGATTAACAGTTTTTCAGTTATACAGTTTCGTCCCTTTAGGACGAAATTTTTTGTTATTTTAAGCCCCAACCTGGCTCTTGCCAGGGGCCGCAATATAGGCAGGCCATAAATATGACCAATTGTCTGAACGCGGTTTCTGGGACTTCTCCACGGCGATCCTCATCCACATGGTGGCACTTTGTGTCATCGGGTGTTTATCGCTTGTGTGATGTCCTGGTGGGGTAGAAAGTCAGTCAGTCAGCCGGATTAACCTTTACGTCCTTTTCAGGATGAAATTTGTTGTTATTTGAAGCCCCACCCTGGCTTTTGCCAGGGGCCGCAATATAGGTAGGCCATAGATATGGCCAATTGTCTGAACGCGGTTTCTGGGACCTCTCCACGGTGATCCTCATCCACATGGTGGCATTTTGTGTCATCGGGTGTTTATCGCTTGTGTGATGTCCTGGTGGGGTAGAAAGTCAGTCAGCCAGAGTGGGGCTTTAAAATAACGAAAAATTGCGCCCCATACTAGGACGGGTGCGAGTAGGTCATCATGTCTCTTGGTGCATCTAGGGCGACCTGGCTGGTGGCAATCCTATAAACTTCCTGTGACCGGAAATGGCTCCACAATATAATAGTAGAGTGTGACACTGCAAGCCGTCTAGTAATTGACAGACAGATAAACTACTTTCAACCGACGATATAGCCTTCATTGTTTGTAATGTGTCAAGTCCTCTTCTCCATGGCATGGTTGTTGCAAGTGATGAAACAATCGAAGTTTTGCTGATTGTAAAACAAATTAATTAAAAGCGAAATTTTTTGTACATAGAATGTCAGTCAGTTCAATTGCTTAACCTGTTTTTTTTTTTTTTTTTAAATGGAATTTAAAAAAAAAAAAAATTTAAAATGTTCATTTACGGTCAGCAAACCAAACTGCATGTGGTCACCATGGTTGTCGGTGATTTCTCTTCATGCTTTACCTGTAAGGAGGACTGTCATGGGAAGATATAGCATCATTTTTACTAACAACTTTTTTAATCCTACTATCCGCATAAATAAAAGTGTAATGGAAAATAATAGAGCAGCCATTGACTTTTTGACGGCGATCGGGTGGTCTAGCGCATCAGCGATTGGATGGGTCATTGGCTGGCCAATGGGTAACTTCGTTACCAGTCCGATTTGTGGTTGGAGTCATTGCATCAACATTACAGGAGTCCTCTTTGGGACTATTTGGTGCTGAGCAGTTTTAAACAATTAATTTGACGCAAATGCAATGCAAAGCTATTTTACGTGCGGCACAGAACCTGGCCACGGTTCTAACATAAAGCTCTCCATTCAGGGATGCTGGTTGATTTCTTTAAAGCTAAGAAAGCAAGCGAATATCAAGGGCATATTATTTTATTCTTATCTGATGTCAAACCAGTGGCGTAGCTAGAGTATGTTATGGGGAAGGGGGTCAAAACGGGTAGCCTCTCGTCAGGGGGAACCACAGTGAGTTTTATTTGGTTAAAAAAGGTTTAAGGGGCCCCATCCTATACAAATGTAGACGCGTTTCCCTGATCAACACCGGTTACATTTTTTTTTAAATAGTTTTGCTTTCGGTAGTCTGGCCAGACAAATATACTGGTATATGAACATTTAAAGTAATTGTAAAAGACACTTGTCCACGATTTGAGCGTATTGGGCATAAGGGGAAAAATCTATATTTGATAGACAATCGGCCCCAGTGATGTGGTCAGCATCACATCAACCGCCTTTACTTCCCAGAACTTCACCTGGTACCCATTCAAGGCTACTTCGCCTTGGGAGCCAAGGTCATTTTCAAAGCATTCAAGCGTCTGGTTACTACACCCTGGCAGCTACTAAAACATATACTCGAATATAGTTTTCTAGTTTTCAATGTTACTTGCAAAGGCATTAAACAGGCTTCCTGATTATGCACTGCAAAGTCTTTCAAAGCGGCCCTAGAACTGAGCAATGGCCAATTCCAATTTCAAAACAATGTCTGACCAATTGAGCGTCAAATGCTTTGGGTAGCCCGTGTCTGAAACATGTATTTTTTTTTTTAAGCTTTCATCAAAAAAAAAGGGATTTATCTCTTCCAGTACAGCTTGGAGGTAGAACAAACCTCTTATAAATTGTTACCAGGTACTCGTGATTCCATAATCTTTAGGAGCTGTAAGACAAAGAGGCACACCACACAATATGCCTTTGCCTAGAAACCACAGCGACTATATCTGCTATACGGACAAGTTTAGCTTTTTACAGGTGAAGAGAATAGAAGAAAACTGATTAGGTTATCCGTTATTTTAAATCTAAAATTCCTCAGAAAACTTATGTGTCCACCCAAACTGCACACAGCTGAGCAACAACTTGACTGAGCGAATCCAAAGTTTGATCTCTCAGAAGACGATCTTAGCCAAGGAGCAAGATGACCTGCTTAGATCCGTCTCGCTGCAAATTCCTGAAAACGACGTCATTCTTTTATCTGCTGCCTCAAGCAACCATTACGATGAGATGCAGGCCATGTTACACTCCCTCCATAGCATGGTCTTTCCAGAACTGTCGAAGACTGAAAACTTCTCTCTGGTTCTGTGGGATATCGGGCTAACTTCAGATCAACGCCAGAAGGTTTGTTGTTTCTGACTTGAACAAAAATGGTAATTAGCTACAGATTTTTTACATGATCTAACAAGTCAAAAGTGATGTTATAAATGTCCAAATGTTTGTTTAACATAGTGGTATGACTGCACTCTTTAACTGAGGGATTATTTCTTTCAATGTTTGGCTCTACATAAAAATAATTGTAATAAGTACATGTAATACTAAACTGTTTTGAAGTTTCAAACTGCAAGAGAATCTAGGTACATGATATAGCGAACTACATGAAACACACACCTACATGAAATATCCAACTGCAAGAAACATCCAACTACATGAAACATCCATACATACACCAAAAAATATATTTATATAAAATATCAAACAGCAGGAAACATCTGACTACATGAAATATGTAACAACATGAGATATCCAACTACCGGAAATTTCAAAATAAATGGAACATCCAAAGTCATGAAACATCCAACTAAAATAAACATAAAAATACATACAACATATAATTATGTTAAATCCAGTAATACAATTTTGAACTATATGGAACACCCAATTACACGAAACACCCAACTAAATGAAACACCCAACTAAATGAAACACCCAACTACATGAAACACCCAACTAAATGAAACACCCAACTAAATGAAACGCCCAACTACATGAAACACCCAACTACATGAAACACCCAACTACATGAAACACCCAACTAAATGAAACACCCAACTACATGAAACACCCAACTACATGAAACACCCAACTACATGAAACACCCAACTACATGAAACACCTAACTAAATTAAACACCCAACTACATGAAACACCCAACTAAATGAAACACCCAACTAAATGAAACGCCCAACTACATGAAACACCCAACTACATGAAACACCCAACTAAATGAAACACCCAACTAAATGAAACGCCCAACTACATGAAACACCCAACTACATGAAACACCCAACTACATGAAACACCCAACTACATGAAACACCCAACTACATTAAACATTTTGCTAAATATAACATCCAGCTACAGGAAACATCCAACTACATTAAACATCTTGCTAAATAAAATATCCAGCTACAGGAAACATCCAACTACATTAAACATATTGCTAAATAAAACATCCAACTACATGGAGCATTCAACTACATGAAATGTTTTGCTAAATAAAACATCCAACTAGATAAAACATCCAACTACATGAAACACCCAACTAATGAAACACACAACTACATGAAACATTCAACAGCATGAAATATCTAACACTACATGAAACGTGCAGCTACATGAAAACCCAACTACATGTGAAACATCTTTGCTAAATAAAACCTCCAACTATATGAAATATTCAACCGTATGTGAAATCCGGCTACACAATTTATCAAATTAAAGTCAAAACAAAGTTTTTTTTAATTTTTTTGCAACTTTTCAACATGATCACAGAGAGCAATGTGTATGACCGTCTTTGGTAGAACTTTCACTAACTTAATAATTGTCTTATCCAACATAATCTTTTCACCACTTGCCAATAATGATACTAATTTAATCTTTTTTTTTCTTTTCTTTGTGTTTCCAAAGCCGTCACTAGCAAAAAATGTGTCAGATCTTTCCCCAACTTGTAAAAATTTATTTTCTCGTTCGTCAACTTTTTGGTCAACTTCATGAACTGACAGCTAGCTTTTCAACAAGATCACATGCTACAACTTGTAAACTTTCACTTCTGTTGATCTACTTTTACCATCAAACGACAATTTCCAATGGTCAGTCTACCCAACTAATCTTATAAGCGCCCCCACCTTTTTTTTTTGTCCAGCTGAGTGTCTCTGGTAGAACTAACACTAACTTAATAATGTTCTTATCCAACAGACATCTTTTTAATATTTCAACATAGATCAACATGTCAACTTTGGCACTGAAAGACTCTTTTTTTCAAAGCGGTCACTAGTAAACATTGTCAGGGCTTTAAATAATTGTTAAACACTTTCAATTTGTAATCACATGCTACAATTTTTGGATTTTCAACTAGTGTTTCGACTTTTATAAACAAATGGACGATTTTCAGATTTCAAACTGCCTGGGTATTTTTTTATAAGGCATCAGCTTGTCCCCTCACTGTTCAACGACATCTAACACCTTGTCATAATTATCCCATTTTCTTATTAAAATAACGCATAGCACCAGCGCACACCACCCGTTGCACCCCCACCACCACGCGCTATCCACCGAACCACCCCTCTAGCTGCAAACCAAGGCAGCGCTACCTACACAACACCACACTACCAGCTGAACCACCCCGTACTGCCCACACCACACAGTGCTACCCACAGAACCACTCAACGCACCCACACCACGCCAGCCGCCGAACCACTCTGTGCTACCCATAGCTCACCGCGCTAACCGATGAATCAACTGGCTGGTGCTCCCACAATAACATGCGGCACCCGCACCACTCTGCTACTTCCGTGGCACATAATATCATCAAAGACTATAATACACTAACTATTAGCAGATGCCTACGACATGCTTTGCAACCCATTGATCGGACCATAACTCAGTTGTAGAGAGGCGCAGCCACACAACCTGACAATAACAGGGGCCCAAACAACGTATGCTGCCAACACTAATACACGTACGATATGCTCGACAACCCATATATCAGATGCCAACATATCGCAGCCTAGCTACCACTTAAACCATGAATCACCATCACATAACCCTGAGACACCACACTCGCTCCCTTTGCCATAATTATCCTATTGTAACATACGTCATGTCTCCTTCAGCTGATACACCAGCACGACAACTTGACCCCACTACTCTCTGTTTTTCTTTATAAAATAAATACAACTTTTAAAAAGTTCTGCTCCGGCTACTGGTAACCTAACCCAATGGTATACTTGTGGAGAGTGATCTCCGTTGTGCCTTGTCCGTCATCAGACAAAATTACAGATATCATAAAGACAAAACAGTATCAGCAACACACTGATATTTTGAAACTAAATTGTGAGTTGTTTGTTATTGTTTCTTTTGTTATGATACTGGTGGCAGAGAACTTATGGTTTATAACCGTGTGCAATGACGCTGGTTTACATCTCCCGACTTTATCTTTTTCACTTTTTTTTTAATACTTTGATTTATGCTGATGTTTTCACCATGTTCTTGTTAACAGTGCTTGAGGTTCTTCTTTTTGACCATTTCTTTTGAAACAGATTTCGTTATATTGGGGCTCTTGCAATATACACAAAGGGCATGGAAGGGAGGGGGGGGGGGCTTGCCATATATCCAAGGGGGGCGTGGAAGGGGGGGGGGGCGAGGGTCTTTTTGCCATATACCCAATGGGTCATTGGGGGTCTTGCCATATATCTGGCCGACTCTACATTTAGAACAGCTGTGTATATGGCAAGACCATCACACAATGCAATTTGTGTGAATGTAAGAGGAGAAATAAGCAGGCATATTTTCTGAAATAACTGCATTTGATTATGACCTTATCTTTTTTAATTACCTTCAGGATTTGTTGAAGACATTTTATTTCTGTTGTTTCTGGCGGTTTTGGGTGGTAATTTCGTTGCATCGCTCAAAGACTTATTTCCCTTTCTTGTTTTCACCACAAAAGTGGTGCAGACAGTAAAAGCCAGTAGCTGGAGGAATAGTACATGACAGGGCGAGCAGGGACCGATCAGCAGAATGTCGGGTGTAGGACATAAGAGATTCCTCGGGCAGGAAACTGCCTGAGACGGGAGAAGGAGCGAGAAAATGTGTGTTGTGTAATGATGAGATGATTTCTTGAATATTTCTAACAGGTAGAAAAATGCTGTCGCTGTCAAGTAATCTCTTTTCCTTTTGAGAAGTTCCCAAAGCGCATCAGCGATTTACACACGTATATGTGGAAACCGTTACTTATCCGCGTGAGTATCGCTACCAATAATAGTCGAATCGATTGTGTTTATGATCCTAATATAGTCTAGAAAAATTAAGTAATCTTTTAAACTTGTAATCTATTAATCTTAGTTTTAGCTTCGTAGCAAACGTGTCACCCCATAGTTGTTTCGCTCCAGTGCCAACGAAAAACTACAGAATATTCATCACTGTATCTTGTGGAAACATATAGACACAGACTGCAGTCTCAGCATACACACGCATTAAAAGCATAAGGCAGCCATCAGAAGTGCTAATACACACAGTCGGACATTAGAAAGGCAATTCGTTATCGATGGAAGTAGCAGATGCTTACAGATGAGTAGTTGCACATGCCATCAATTTCAATCACACAAGGCACCAACAATTCTGTGGCAACAGGAAACGCTCCATTTTTTTGTTTTTTGTTGTTGTTGTTGGAACTACAGTTCACAACTTCACGTTGGTTGTGGTTGAAAAAAAAGAACATTCCAAATGAGATACGCAGCAGACAGTGTCGCACCATGCACTAAAGTCAGTATCTGGGTGACAAAACTATCCTTTCAGTCTACAAATGAAGGAAAATGCAACGGCCACCGTCTGTCAGAAGAAAACCATTTGGCACGACTAACAACAGTGACCGCGCCTCGGTTCATTTTGACCGGATGACAAATGTGAAATAGCATGTCAGTTCCTGGGAAGTAAAGGCCACCATTGATATAAACATTTAGCTCAAACACCATATACCTAATTTGCCAGTGGGGGGAAACAAGATCAACAACTACTACTGCCACTCCTACAGCAACTGTTGCTGCTACTGCAACTACTACCACTACTAATACTAGTACTACAAATAATTTTACTAATGCTGCTCCTGCCTGCTACTACTACTACTACATCCAATTCTCCTGCTGCTATTACTGCTACAACAACAACTACTACTAATTCTGCTACTGATACTACTAATACTACTACACCTGGTTCTTTTGCAACTGCTGCCCCTAAAACAACAGCAAAAACAACAACTACTACTATTACTACTACTAATTCTACTACTGCTGCTACTACCACAACTAATTCTACTACTTCTGCTATTACAACTAATTCTACTACTACTACTATTACAACAACAACTACTACTACTACTATTTACTCTACTATTACTTCTACTATTACTACTACCACTACTACTAGTACTAATTCTACTACTGCATCTACTGGTAATGATGTCACTGCGGCTTTTACTACTGCAACTGCTACTGCAGCTACTATAACTATAGCAGCAACTACCACTACTACAATTACTGTTACTGCTAATATTACAATTACTGCAACGACTACAACTGCAACTACGATCACTACTGCTACTACTACAACCACTACTACTTCTGCTGCTGCTGCTGTTTTTACTATTGTTACTTCCATTACAACTATTTTGGCTGTTACTACTACTAAAACTACTATTACTTCTACTACTATACTACTTCTACTACTACTACTACTACTACTACTACTACTACTACTACTACTACTACTACTACTACTACTACTACTACTACTACTACTACTACTACTACTACTAGTGCAACTACTGCAACTACAGCTGCTGCTGCTGCTACCACAACTGTCACCACCACTTTTTCTCTTCTTTACTTCATCTTTTACTGCTTTGGATGTCGAGGGAAATATACGCTTCTGCTTCTTGCTCTTCTGGCCTCCTCGACCATAAACACATCGGGCTGTTGTAGAGTTTCTTTGATGTTATCGTTTCCTCCTGTTCTTGGTCTACCTCGTGATCTTCCCCTATCTCCTATTTTGTAGTATGCCTTGTGTAGTATGTCGTCACAAGGCACTCTCTCTAAGTGGGAAAACCATTTGATTTGCTGTCTTTACATGTAATTTAACATTGTTACTGTGCTTTTCATTTATGACCCGGTTCTTGATTTTACTTCTTCTGGTTGCTCCTGACGCCTTTCTCATTGCCATGGTAACTAATTTTCTTTTCTGGTTTGTTATGAATGACTATGTCTGGCACTGGTAACATACATTTGGAATGAATATGTTTTTTTTTGTGAGATTTTTCTTTGTGCTGATTGGCATTGTCTTGTGCTGTAAAACGGGAGCTACCTGTCTCTCAATGCTTGGTTTGGTTTATCGCATTGGGAGATTTTTGTGTGTGTGTGTGTTTTTTTTTTTTTTTTAATTCTTTATCCTTTAACCTTGGCATCTATGAACTTCTTTTAACTATAGTGAAAAGGAGACAAACGCAATGGAATAGACATATAATTAGATCTAACAGCCTCGTAAAAAAAAAACAATACTGCAGGGCCCAGTTTAGGAAAAGAGGAGAAGAGGCAGACCAGGAAAGACCTGGTTAGAGACCTTGACTGATTGGACAGGCCTCAGGCATGCAACCATGAAGTCCATAGCAACTGACCGCAAAACGTGGAGAAAGCAGATAAGACAGTCAACGTAAATTGGTGACCCAGCGACCCGCATTGTTACAGCATGATGATGATGATGAATACTTTCTCTAATTTACCATCTTCCGTGAACGTTGTTACAAGATATCTAATGCATCTTTTTTTTTACCCCAGTGTTAAATTTAGGTGCCTTTTCTTTCTTCCTGTAAGGTTAATAAACCAGACCACAAATATAACCATCCTCATTACCGCCATCTTAACCATCATCACTACTACAACAACTATCATTATTATTCATACACTAATCATTGCCTTACTGATCAAACAGTCTCCCAAATATAAAGCACCAGGAGCTGATAGATTACCAACAGAAATAATTCAAGCAGCAGGTGAAAGCAGCATCAGATGGCTTCACATAATATTCAATGCAGCATAGGTACAACAAACGGCCCCTATTGATTGGCAACATGCAATAGTTATACCATTGTGGAAGAACAAAGGAAGCAAATGAGAATGCGGTCAATATCGAGGCATCTCTCTTTTAAGCCATGTTGGCAAAATGTATGCCAAGATAATAGAAACAAGACTGAGACCAGTGAAAGAACCACAGCTGGCAGAAGAACAGATGGGATTTAGGAGAAATAGAAGCTGCACAGATGCAATCTTCACACTAAAACAGTTAATAGAAAAGAACATTGAATACAATAAGAACTTATTTGTGGTATTCGTAGACCAGGAGAAGGCATTTGACAGAGTCGACAGACAATTATTATGGAAAGTAATGGCAAGATATAGAGTAAGCGAACGCCTTATCGAAGTGTGCAAAAGTTTATACAGGGATTGTAGAAGTGTAGTTAGAATAAATCAGGGAACATCTCATCCTTTCACAGTGACATCTGGAGTAAGACAGGGGTGTGTCTTATCACCACTGCTGTTTATTATACCTACATCGACAGTATATGCAAGAATGCTAAGCCCATGAATGAAGATCTTAGTAAGATCAACGAATTACTCTTTGCAGATGACCAGGCCTTGATAGCAGATACAGCCATGAAATTGCAACAACATCTAACATCCATGAATGAAGAATGTAAAACAAATAATATGAGAATCAACACTGAAAAGACAGAAGTAATGCCAATAGGAAAAAAGAAGACAGATCTAAACATAGCAATAGAATACAAAGGCTTTAAACAGGCATCTGAGTTTAAATATCTGGGAACTACATTTACCGAAGATGGGAAATTGGATAAAGAAATTAACATTAGATGCAGTAAAGCAAACCAAGTATTGGGACAGCTAGCTCCCCTCTTACAGCATAAGACAATCACAATCAGCACAAAGAGACATCTTATTCAAAGCAAATTTATTCCAACTCTGTGCTACCAGTGCCAGACATGGTCACTCACAACAAACCATAAAAGAAAATTAGTAACCACGGAAATGAGATGTCTGAGAAGGGCTGCAGGAGTGATCATAAGAGATAAGATCAGGAATGAGATCATAAGAGAACAAGTCGGCACAGAACCAATTCTGGATTACATACAAAGACTGCACGTGAAATGGTTTGCCCACTTAGAGACAATGCCTTGTGTACCATACCATACAAAGCATACATGGAAAGAGAAGAAGGGCGTAGAGCACGGGGTAGACCAAGAACAAGATGGAAGGATAACATCAGAGAAACTCTACAACAACACGATGTGCCTATGGTCGAGGCAGCCAGAAAAGCTAGAAACAGAACCTTATATCTCCCTCGACACCCACAGCGGTAAAAGAGGAAGGGAAGAAGAAGAAGAAGAATCATTGCCATAACTTCTACAAAAAGCACTATTATTACTACTACAATAATCACCATCATTACGGCTAATAACCATCCGTATCAATGTTATCATAATCCTCGTCACTGCTACAATAAACATCAACATAACTACTAAAAAAAGTTACAGTCATTATAGCTACAATAACCATCACCATACTAACACAATAACCACTATAATTAGTAGTACAATAATTAACAAAATCCCTGCTACAGTAACCTACATCATCGCCACTGCCATAACTATGATATATACTTAAAAAACCACAATCATAACTACTACAATAACCACCATCACCACTTCTACAATAACCACCCTCAGTATTACAACAATAAGCACCACCATTACTGCTACAGCGCATATCCTCATTGCTACTACTATAATTATCATCACTACTACAATAACCGCCATCATTATTACTAAATTAGCTACTATAATTACTTCTAAAATAACCACCAACATTACTACTAAATTAGCCACTATCATTACTGCTACAATAACCACCATCATTACTACTAAATTAGCCACTATCATTACTGCTACAATAACCACCATCATTACTACTAAAATAGCCACTATCATTACTGCTACAATAACCACCATCATTACTACTAAATTAGCCACTATCATTACTGCTACAATAACCACCAACATTACTACTAAAATAGCCACTATAATTACTGCTACAATAACCACCATATTTACTAATAAAATAGCCACTATCATTACTGCTACAATAACCACCATCATTACTACTAAATTAGCCACTATCATTACTGCTACAATAACCACCATCATTACTACTAAAATAGCCACTATAATTACTGCTACAATAACCACCATATTTACTACTAAAATAGCCACTATCATTACTGCTACAATAACCACCATCATTACTACTAAAAAATCCACTATCATTACTGCTACAATAACCACCATCATTACTACTAAATTAGCCACTATCATTACTGCTACAATAACCACCATCATTACTACTAAAATAGCCACTATCATCACTGCTACAATAACCACCATCATTACTACTAAAATAGCAACTATCATTACTGCTACAATAACCACCATCATTACTACTAAATTAGCCACTATCATTACTGCTATAATAACCACCATCATTACTACTAAAATAGCCACTATCATTACTGCTACAATAACCACCATCATTACTACTAAAACAGCCACTATCATTACTGCTACAATGACCACCATTATCACTACTGCCAACATTATTAGCGTTATCTCTAGTACAATCGGCACCGTCATTACTACTACAATAGCGATAATCATCACTGCTACAAAAACCACCATTGTCTCTACTATTATAATCACCATCATCACTACTACAGTAACCATAACCATCATCACTGCTACAATAACCATCATCATCACTGCAGCCCTAACCGTCATCAACACTACTACCATAGCCACCCTAATCTCTGTTACAATAACCATCATCATCCCTACTTCTATAACCACCATCCATACTACTGCTGCTACAATATCCACCATCTTCACTACTAACATAATTACCATCAATAACCGCCACCATCATTAAACTAAATGTTGTCAATGCATTTTGAGAGGGAGTGAACAGTGCAGAGGCCAACACAGTTGTGTCCTAACTCAGCTAAACTCAGCCCTCCGTTACAAAGACAGAATATCTTTGACATATCTGAATGACATTCTAAGTCTTGTTGTATAGCAAGTATCAAAATGCTATGTATGCTTCTTGTGGTTCAAAATAATTTGTCCCTATTTGTGTGTGTGACAAAACCCAGATAACCCTGCTCCGTGCCAGAAAGTTTGTGGTCTACCACGATGCCTGCATCAGGTACAACCAGTTTCCCGGGCCATTGTTTGACAAGGGGATGACGCATGGACTGTATCTGTTAAAAGGAAGGGGTAAAGCGTCAACGGTACACAGAACACTACCAGAGGTTGGTATTCATTTTTTTTTTTTTCTAGATGAACGATGTAAAGATAATTAAACACGTGCGTCTTTTCTTCTTCTTCTTCTTCTTCTTTTTTTTTTTCTTCTTCTTCTTTTTCTTCTTCTTCTTCTTCTTCTTCTTCTTCTTCTTCTTCTTCTTCTTCTTCTTCTTCTTCTTCTTCTTCTTCTTCTTCTTCTTCTTCTTCTTCTTCTTCTTCTTCTTCTTCTTTTATTCGCTTGAAATAGATTTTACATATCTGCGATGTTGTCTCTAGAATGAACTTCACTGACACAATTCAGCGACCAGTAAAGTTTGGCAACGGTGTTTCTCTTGGCCAAAATGCGTGCCTTGATATCGTGTATTTGGGACCGTCTTGACGCCCGTGTTCTATTGTCTCAGGTGCCAATTCACACTCGCACATTGCTGATTCACCGAACTTAAATGTTGTGTAAATTGACTGAGAATTCGATTGTTTTATTCTAAAGCGTAGAATAATAACTTGCTCTGGTTGGTCCATAATATGGTAATCGTCTTGTGCAGTTTTTGGTTGCTTTCTGATTGATTTGATTATTCTCTTCTTCTGTTGATAAGAGATTGTTACATCAGGCTGTTCTTCGTTTGCACCTTTCCTTAGCTAGTTTATCAGCTCTTTCCTTTCCAGGAACTTCACAGGGGGTAGGGGGTGGCCTATCCCTTTCGCAGTTGCATCCCACCGGTTGCCTTGTTTAGAGAATAGTTTCACTAATTTTTTTCCAGATTGAAGTGCCTGTAGTACCGCACTCGCATCTTTCAGGAATACAGCGGGTTGTGGAATTTGACGTATATTTAGCAGATTTTATGCGATTTCTATGGTTCGAACTTCTGCATCATAGTTGTTACAGTGCTTCCCTGTAGGTATTTTGGTTGTATATCTGGTATTACTTGAATACTCAATATATACCCCTGCTCCTCTATTTCTGCTAGCGTTTTGTGCTGACCCATCCGTGTAGACATGAACCCAAAGATTCTGTGGGTACTCATAAAGTAGCAGAGTTTTGTTCTTCATTTTCAAATACTACTTTCACTTCTGTCTCCATGTTTCTTGGCAACTTATAATCCTCCCTCCAAAGATTCCTATCTGAAAAATTATTTAAGGGGCTGTCAGTTACAGTCAGATCATTGGTTTGACTGCAAGATCGTTGGTCCTAATGGATAAAGCTGCTTCTTTTTAGTCGCCCCGTTGCTAGATTGTGGAATCTTTCTTTCATGGGGTATACAGCAATGCTAAGAAACTTTTCTGCTTGTATCAGTATCTTGGTGTCTCTGCGTTCTATCAGTGTTTGAGTCATCTCCATCTTCTCCATCACAGCTGTAGGTGTTGATTTCATTCCGCATGTTTTGACTCTAAGTGCTTGATTTTGCACCTTATCTAACTTTTGTAGTGTGGTTTTTTTCATGCTGAACTCCATGCAGTAGACCCGTGTTCAATGTGCGGTCGTACACTTTGCTGATAAAATGTCATAAGTATTTTTCCATTAGCGCCACATGTTGTCCCGCTGAGGGTTTTTTTTTTTTTTTCAGGGTAGCTATCTTTCTTCTGGCTTTGGTTGCTGCCTTGCTGAAGTGTGCATGTTAACCTATTATCAAACCTGACTCCGTGGTATGCGGGATCCTTATCCTCTCTTAATGGTATTCCATTTATCTGATTGACACCTGACTTTTATTTTGGGACAGGGGTAAAGAGGGTGGTGCTCCACTTGTCTATGCTTAGGCTTACACACCATTTATCAGCAGATGCAGCCATTGCGTCTATGGATCCTTACTGCAGCCTAGTGGTCACTGTTGCATATTTATTTTTATTTACATAGTACCAAGTCGTCAGCATGCATAACAGCATTAAAACCATGGGTAGTTCAGCAGTAAGGTCGTTGATATAGACCAGAAACAGTGTTGGGGTGGTTACACCACCTTGGTAAACAAAATGGCGCAGCAAATTTTTCTTGCGCTTGAGTCCGTCTATCTGTACGTGGGCTCTTCTCTTATACAAATATGCTTTCACCCATCTGCACTTATTCCCATTGAATTTGTAGTTTCTCAGTTTTCCTCAGACCTTTTCAGACCTTTTTAAAGGCTTTCTTTAGACCTATCCATGCCACAAGCGTTACCTTCTATTCTTGAAAGGCATTTTTAATTTCTTGAGAGAAATAAGTTGTTTGATCTTCTGTGGAGTAGCAATATCTAAAGCCTTTATGCTGCGGCGTAAATATGTTTTTACTGTCCATGTACCATGTACCATTGAAGTCTAATGTTGACAATGCGCTCCATTGTTTTATAGAGACAGCTGGTACGGCTGATTTGTCCATAACTGGAGGCATTGTAAATGTCCTTTCCTGGTTTTAGAAGAAGTATCATGCATATATATAATATATATATATATATATATATATATATATATATATATATATATATATATATATATATATATATATATATATATGCATGATACTTCTTCTAAAACCAGGAAAGGACATTTACAATGCCTCCAGTTATGGACAAATATTTATATATATATATATATATATTTATATATATGCATGATACTTCTTCTAAAACCAGGAAAGGACATTTACAATGCCTCCAGTTATGGACAAATCATGCATATATATATATATATATATATATATATATATATATATATATATATATATATATATATATATGTGTGTGTGTGTGTGTGTGTGTGTGTGTGTTTCTGTGTGTGTATATATATATATATATATATATATATATATATATATATATATATATATATGCGCATTCGTTTTACATATCTGACTTAATTGTATGCAGATTTTTGGTTGCTTGCTTCTTAGACAGATGCACTCCGACTTCGAAAAAAGCCCCCAGCTAGTTTTTATTTATTTATTTATGTTTTTTGTTTTTTTTTTAGTATCGTGTCTTCTCTTGAATTCCTTGTGTGTTTTTCCCCCTCAATTTCGATGTTGTTGTCTAATGCAAAGTGTCTGCAAAGCGGTTGGTTGCCTCTTTTGTTGCGACTATGTTTCCATCTTTCTGTGGCTTGACAGCTTGCCGATAATCTATCAAAGCTTTATCATTCCATCATAGGAGTTGTATCCAGTTTTTTTTTTCCTTCTAAAGGTGCGTGTTTCACGCTTCTTACGCCGGACTGTGATTTTGGCTAACAATGTTTTAGCCGGCGTCACATAGTCTATACCAACAGACGGTAAGTCCGCTTTGCTCACGGCTACAGTATGGGGTTAGGGTTAGGGTTGGTAGAAGTCGCTATCTACTTAACTCTAACCCTAACAACCCTTCCACCCCCACCCCCCCACCCCCCCCCTCCCAACTATACTATGGGATTTCCCTAAATCTCACGTGATAGGGTCCCTTAACAGAAAAGAACCACACAAAAAAGCGAGGTACTTGCTAAGATGGGGATGGGGATGGGGAGGGGGGAGCTGCAACAGCAGGTATCTTAAACACAGGCAGTGGTAGGCAGAATGTTCTACTAAAGATTTTGAAACTAAACTAATGCTAAATAGCTGATACAACTACAATGGCCAGCTAAGTAAACCACTAGGCAAACAGAGAATTAAAACACAACTGCTTATTTTACTGTTCGAAAATCAAACAGGTATATAAACTACACTATGTGCATGTGCAATGTGCAATATAATACCATAATGCCAATTAGTCAGAACATATGATAGATCTTCAAAATGAGACGCAGTTTTTCGTTATTTGTACTACGGTTAATGAGGGAAGCTCTAATATACCCCAACCTATGGGCTGAACGGGGTTCCTGGGACTTGTGCTGGGGTCATCGTCATCGTCATCCTAATAGTGGTACTTTGTGTCACTGGGTGTTGATCACCAGCTGTACCGTCCTGTTGGGCTTGAACAACACACACACACATCTTTAAGATATAAGGAACTACTAGCCTACCGTTTAACAGACAATTATGGAGAATGCAAAACTGTCAAACCATAAGTAGCAAACATAAACTAGCATAACACCCACAACGGCTGTAAAAATAATCTTATAAATGCCGAACAAGACTTGTGTCATGATTCTCAGATAAACCTTGTGTGGACTCAAAACGCTGGGTGCGGAAACCTTCGTCCAGTATGGGAATCAGTTTCATAATTTAAAGCCCCACTCCGGCTGTTGTTGGGCGGCACTAATGTAAAATAACGGTTAGACGGCGTTTTTGGGACTTGCGCCAGGATGATTCTCATCTGACTGGTGGCACTTTATGTCACCGGGTGTTTATCGCTCATTGTGCAGTCCTGCTTGGGTTGAACTTTATTCAACGCTGGGTACAAAACGAATAGTTTTCGTGTGTGCTCAGGCTTAAATACTAGAAAATATTCAGACTAAAAATGTACAAAGCAGTACATAACTTCCTAATAATAATTTTCTTAACCAGTGATTCTTAACACCTGGTTCATTAAGTTAACCATTCAACACATTATGCCCTGACTTGTACTTAATGAGTTGAAATTAATGTCACTACGACATTCTTAATGAACCTATGCGACGTTGAAGAACACGGAAATAATAAGCATGCGAAGGGGAAACATGCACGTCAATCTTATTCATGTTGGTATTTCAGACTTTCACTTACCTCGGGCAGAAGGTGTGCAGCTTCTATCCCTACCAAGAACTGATTGCAAGTTATGGCGTTTACAAGAATGATCCGTTTGTACTGAAAGCTGTGACAAATCTGTGGGCCAGGTGTGCCTTTGAAGAGAAGTGCATGTCTCCGAGGCCGACAATACCTTCCCTCTCCTGTCATTATGGACCTTGCCATAGGTAATGTTTATTATTATTATTATTAATTCAATACACACAGTTATTGCGAATTCTACTTTAGTACAACCTAAGTAGCGTCTGTGGCTTAGGCGTTGCCAAAGTGCTTCGTAATGCCGAGATTCCGGGTTCGAACCAAGCTGCGAACGGTTTCGACATTGGAACCGATACCTGACCGTTCAGAAACCAATGGCAAACTACTGAACAGGGCATGGTTTAAAAAATTGAAAGAGGTGTTCTGTGCGCAGAGTGGCTTATATCGCTTGAAAAGATTCAGATCAGGAGCGTATCGTGGATTCTCTGTCTTTAAATTCGGGTGTGCGAGGCAATGAGCTGGCTGACAGACTGGCTGCTGTCGCTCCTCTGGGGGTGAGCTACATTTTCATAAAGCGGACGTGATGAAGGTCCCTAGGATCAAATGGACTGACGCGAATTCAACTCCCCGCATTAAGCAGAAAAAACGGCTATGTGCTCCAATTCACTCTTCTGAGCACCTGAAATCAAATATAGCTCCGGCATAATAGCTGACTAAGCTACACCGCATCCCGTTGAAAATGATGCCCCGGTCTCCCTGCACAGCGTCAGAAATTGCCCAGCTAAATCCATGGACCCTTCACCGTGTCTGCTCTAGTTGACAGCATTCAGAATTCGAATACAACAGTTCACCTGGGCAGGTGGATCTTAGAATCATGTAATATCGCCTTGGCATTTTCTCAGGGTTCTGAAATTTCACCAGTGGTTTTCAATGTGTATACAAGCAAGATTGCAGAACTTAAAGCACTAGGTGTTGGAGGGATATTGACAGTTGCGGTAAAATGTCAGAAAGTCTCAATATTATGACAGCAATGGACATAAAACAAAGAATGCTGTTCACAATGTTCAATTATGTGGTCCTGTCGGTGATAGATTATGGACTTGGAATGCTTACTATATCAAAGAGTCAGCTGATGAAGCTTGAGTGCATACAGAATTAATCCTTGTGGGTAATTCTGGGATGCACAAGAGTCACCCTGGTAGTATGTGTTGGATGTATACTTGCACTGCCTGCTATGGCAGATAGGCTCAAAGTTGTGCAGGTAAAGTCATATCTCAGAGTAGCTGCAAAAGTCCTAGGTAGAGCTAAGGGTCACAGATCGCAAAAGAGAAAGGTCCTTGGTGGCGCAAGCTGAAGACACCATTAGACATGTGTGCAGGCTTGATAGATTTGGGCGAGGAGAGGAGTGGGTTAAAGTGTCCGCGCAAGAATCACATTTGAGGAAGGGTCTAATCACTTTGGGTTGTGAGTGCAGGCACTGGCCAATCGGTGTATTCATGATAATTCCCACGCATGTGATGTAATTATCTATAACGACTGACTTTTTACCCAACCAGGACATCAAACTGAGCGATAAACACCTGCTGACACAAAGTGCTACCATTCGGATGAGGATCACCAGTGGAAAGGTCCCAGAAACCCCGTTCAACCGTTAGGTTATATTAGGGCCCACATCAACAACAAGGGTGGGGCTTCAAAATAGCGAAAAATTTTCCCACACGGGAATTGAGAGGTATAATTATCTATACAGATGGCTCCATGTTGAGAGGTAGACGAAGTGCATCTGCGTTCCTAGCAAAAGCGAATGGACGTCGCTTAGTGCAGCAAAGCCTGGCAATTGATAACAGAACGTCCAGTCTGAGAATGGAGTTGAAGGCGTTCACAGGCATATATAAATATACTAATAGCTAGTGCTCTGAGCAATAAAATCTTAGTTTTGCATGAAATGTTTTTGGACCTCCATAATGTTTGCTGCTTGCCAAGGACTGATTTTGTCTGGAATCCGATCTATTAGTCAACAGCAATGTGCGTCTCGGGCAGTATTTCAACCCTGGCAGGGCACACTTCTCTCCAGGTGACCATTTCTCCTTTAGTCTGTATCTTCACGGATTCAGTTTCCAGTTTCGAGTCTGCACCATCACATTGTCATTTTTGTTTAATTTGTTGAAAACACTCCTCAACAATCTCAGAATACTGTCAACATTACTTTCCCTGTGATGACAGAATCGTGATTGTTTTCACACAGGGCGAAGAAGGATGTTTCCATTGCATCGAAGCGCGCTTTGATTCGGGCTGGTTGTAATGCATCCATGATTCGTCCCCAGTAGTAATCCTGTTTAGCATGTCTTCTCATTCATCTGTGTATTGACAGAAATGCTGCAATGACAAGCCTTATCAGTCGTTGTTTTGTTTTCTTCTGTCAATTGTCTGGGTATCCACATTCAGCATGCTTACTTTCAGTCGATCATGCACCATGTCAGCACCCTATTGCAGCTGCTAGAGAGTCAATGGTTACTCGCTTTTACCCTCTAATCATCTGCTCCGCCCGCTGCACGGATGCGTCTGTTACAGTCTCAACAGGACGACCAGATCGGATTTCATCAACAATTTTAGGGCGTCATTTAGAACAAAATATAACCCAGTTACGCACCGCTTTACGGGATGAGCATTTGTCGGCATGAACAGGAAGTAATTCCTTATTTGTGTCTTTTGCAGGCAGCCCACCCAACCCCCCCCCCCCCCCCGCCCCCGTCCCAACATAAAAAACGCACAACAGCTCGATGTTCTATGAGGGTACACTCCGTAAGTGCAGTCGCCATTTTGTTTTTGTGTTGCGAATGCGCATGCAACACATAACGCTACCTAACGAACGGAGACTTGAAGCTGGATATTCCTCTCACTTAATGAAACCTTTAGAAACCACCGACTCCATTTTCCTGTCATCCCACTACCATTTGTGATTTATTTATTGACTTCCCCTTGTATGTTTTCCGTTTCCTTGGCCAGTGAAAATGTGTGGCGTTACTTTTTTTTTTTTTTTTTTTGCCTGCAGCGGAAACTGTTGTTACTTTACCATGATACCAAAGTCCATCATCATCAAGTGCCTTGTCCACTAGCTAAAGCCATTCTTCGTCAATGTCGCCATGGTGTCATCCATTTAAAATTTCAAGAACTGCTGTTCGGTAACGTCGAGTCACCTCTCTCCGTCTCGCATTCTAGATTTAACCTCGTGTTCCGTCGTATCGTTGAAAACAACAAAAAAATTTCAAGTATCGTCCTCTTTTAGCCGCCTGAAATCCTGCTTTATCGAGGACTCGTTCTTGGCTATCTTAGTCTTCAATGTTTTAGTCTTTAGTTTCTTTGTGGCTAAAATAATTTCGCCTGATTTGTGTTTCCTTGCATCAATCATGTCAGCGGGGTCTGGCTTGGCGGGTTTTTTATTGGTTGTTTCCAGTTTTTTGGAGTGGATCTGGCAGTCCTTTTCACTTTTCAGGGCTGCCATTTTTGCCTGGGGTGGCCTGGAACGGGAATGGGGAGATCTCCTGTGGGTCCGGTGCTGGTACCTTTTGGCAAGCTTTACCTTTTATCCTGAATATCTTGTTTACGGGAGCACGAAAATCCTGAGGTTTCGCTGTATTCGCATTAGTGTTTCTTCATATCTTACAGTGTCACTAAGCCAAGAGTCTTTGATTTGAAGTTTTCAACCACAACAAAAAATGAACACTTGTAATGTTATTGGGTCTCTCATGTTGACGCCATTTCAACTATTTGGGAAGAGGTATTTTAATATGTGACATAAATTATTTAATTCTGTAACGTATGTTTCTCCTGTTCTAGGTTCGACCAGTCTGCGTTGACAATTATAACTACCACTTTGTACGGTCACGAGATCTACAGAATTACTCAGTACAAGGTCGATGTGATACAGTATGTCACTCTGCAGAGAGATCATAAAGAAGCTAATTATTTCAACAGCACTGGTTGTCTTAAATCATAACAAATGTTTAACGTTAACAATTACAGACCACATATTATCGAACATGCTAAACAAATAAATGACTCGGTACTAGCAAACTTCTCTGTTAAAGATGTCATCAATGACCGCAACTTCCTGCTCTTTTCAAACTTGTCTGCTGTCACCAAGTTTCTTGATTAATTCCTTATCATAATCTTTTTTTAAAGTTTGATCGTCCACCCGTAATTTTCTAATCAGGTAGGGATTTTCATGTGTGTGTGTGTGTGTGTCCGAAATTACTGTCAAGGGTGCAGGTTAAAATACCCAATGTAGATGTTAAAGAAAACGAGAAAGCACCACATTAAATTCCTAAGATATCTTAGATTATCTATTAGATAGAGTGCTAAAATGTTACATGAAACCCGTTCTGCTGTAGGGCAGCTAATCTTGAAATGTCAGTAGACAAATTAGGAAGAATTGGGAAGCAACATAGATGTGGTATCTGAGACAAATGTTATGAATACCTTGGAAGGCAAGAGTGACTAACAACGATTGTTTGAAAAAAAAGCTAATGAAAGTAGATCACTGTATACAACAATAAGAAGGGACTTGGATGACGGTTGAGAACTGGGCTTATGTTGACCGTTCTTGTCGCCGTTTCTCTTCCAGTTTTGATGTTGCAAGTTGTTGAAGTTAGGCTTGCAGCTAGAGCTACTGAGTTTAGTGTTCCTGACGGCATTGTGAGCTGTGATTTTCGGTTGTTGACGGAGTTCCAGATTCGTACATAATGACAATGATGGGGGATGTATTTTTTTCATTGTGTTCCTGAGACAAGGCGTTTGCTATAGCTGCTATTTATTTGCTGGCGGTGGTTGCAACTTGGCCGAGGACATGTGGAGAATGGTCAGGACTAGTTGCAATCTACTTATCGCCCAGCTATTCGTCGAATAGCCTGGTTTCGCAGTGTGTTTACGGAGGCATGCATCTTATAGTTTGCCAGATCAAACCGTGTGTGTTTGCTGACTGAGGACACTTTGTGTGGCTACGGCATTCACTTAAAGTATCCAGCGTATCTGACTCAGTTTGTGACTGGAATCACTGGCATGGGCGGTTGAGCAATTGTGGGCTATGCTCGTCTGCTGTGATGCCGAAACCGTAACGACGAAGTAACTAACTAACAATAAGATGGAGACAAACACCTTTCTTTGGTCAAGAAATAAGAAGAGATGCACTGGAAAACATCGTGACAACTGGAAAGATCAATGGAAAGAGTGGTAGAGGCAGACCAAGAGAGATTATGATGGATGGGCTGAAACGATGGGATGGAGATATAATCAAGAGAGCTGTTCTTATCAACCAGGAATCGTGATCTGTGGAGATGCATGAGCGCCAACTGGCAAAGCACATGATGATGATGATGATGATGATGTGTGTGTGTATGTGTGTGTGTGTGTGTGTGTGAAGACTGAATAATGTTAGTTCTTGTTAGTTTATCATATTCTTTGCATCCTCCGTCCTCAAAAGCTGCCTTTCCTCTGCCACAAATATCCAAATGAATGCCTAACGACAGCCGGGAAATGTTGTGGAGGACAATGGTTATGAAAGTAATGGTCGAGATAATGGCAGTTTTAAGCCGAACGGAACAACAGTGGGAAACCTCTGTCACTGGCTTAAGCATTAGGGGAAGTCTGTGGATAGAAATAATTATTCTGGATATTGTAGATCTAGCTGTGGTCTGTGATCCGTGAGTGGTGGTCCTGTGATCCGTGAGTGGTGGTCTGTGATCCGTGAGTGGTGGTCTGTGATCCGTGAGTGGTGGTCTGTGATCCGTGAGTGGTAGTCTGTGATCCGTGAGTGGTGGTCTGTGATCCGTGAGTGGTGGTCTGTGATCCGTGAGTGGTGGTCTGTGATCCGTGAGTGGTGGTCTGTGATCCGTGAGTGGTGGTCTGTGATCCGTGAGTGGTAGTCTGTGATTCGTGAGTGGTGGTCTGTGATCCGTGAGTGGTGGTCTGTGATCCGTGAGTGGTGGTCTGTGATCCGTGAGTGGTGGTCTGTGATCCGTGAGTGGTGGTCTGTGATCCGTGAGTGGTGGTCTGTGATCCGTGAGTGGTGGTCTGTGATCCGTGAGTGGTGGTCTGTGATTCGTGAGTGGTGGTCTGTGATCCGTGAGTGGTGGTCTGTGATCTGTGAGTGGTGTTCTGTGATCCGTGAGTGGTGGTCTGTGATCCGTGAGTGGTGGTCTGTGATCCGTGAGTGGTGGTCTGTGATCCGTGAATGGTGGTCTGTGATCCGTGAGTGGTGGTCCTGTACAACAGTTTCTGGATAAGCAATTTACAAAAGGAACTAGTGGAATTTTTTTTTAAGCAACGCTTTTGCAAAAAATAACTCGAGAAGACACAGCCCCTCACTGCATACTGCTTCACGATAAACTCTAGCGCGAATATTTTGACAACATCATTAATTTCGTTTCTCACATATTTTTAATACATAAAGTGTAGTGATACGTTGAAAACACCATGTATAACCTGCATTCAATCTTAATACAGTGAAACCTCGCTTAACGAGCATAATTCGTTCCAGAATCATACTCGTTAAGCGAAACACTCGTTATGCGAAACAATTTTTCTCATATACATTAATGTAAAATACGATAATACGTTCCACGTCGAAAAAGATACACACAAAATGCTATGTATAACATGTACTCAAAGAAAATTATATTCATATTGTTAAGGGGAGTGGATCATCTTCATCTTCTCTTCAAACGCGTAACGAACCCACATGGAATGCGAATTCGATTTGCAGAAAAAAAAGTCGAAATAATTATGATACATAGCTAATTATTTTTACTAGAAAGATGTCCAGAGATTTGTTTTTGCCGACGCTTCAAAATTTGGAGAAAATGCGATACAGCATTATCATTAAATAAATTTGCAACGCGCATAGCCACTTCCTTATTAGGGCGATGTTTCTCAGTGTAAGATGCAACAGTTTGCCATGCTTTCAGCATTTCTCTTATTTCGCCTGAAAATTGTTGCTTTTCTGTTACCTCCTCCTCTGACAACCTTTCCTCCAAAACGCATGTCTTGGCTGTGCTCTTCTACAAGCTCTTTGATGTCACTGTTATCCACCTACAACCCTATGATAGTGGCCAAAGACCCAATCTCGTTGACTACAGGTTTCACTGTCTGGAACCCCTCAAAGTCACAAAATAGGCAACACTCTCTGGCCAAAGCTTCTTCCAAGCAGAAGTTAAGATTCTCTTGGTAACCCCTTCTCCCGCCTTGTCGATCATCTTGAGGCAGGCAACGATGTGGACGTGATTTTTCTCTAAAACTCTTTGAGAGTGAGGTTGGTCCCTTCAGTCACATGAAAACAATGCTCGAAGAGTGCTTTAGAGTAGAGTTTCTTAAAGTTAGAAATAACTTGCTTCTCCATGAGCTGGAGTAACGGTGTGGTGTTGGAAGGCAGAAATTAGATCTTGATGAACTTAAATTCTTCAGAGAGGTCATCTTGTAGGCCTGGAAGATTCATGTACATATATCACAATATAACACAAGTTTGCGAAAATATGTGGTCACAAGCGACACTACAATGCTTCTGGAACGAGTGCAAAATACAGACTGATGTAACATGCGCACAATTCGGGACTTCCCCTCTCCTCGCCACTCGTTATGCGAAAAGTCGCTCGTTAAGCAAGTCATTTTTTTTTTTTTACAATTTGTTTTGCTCGTTAGGCGAATTACTCGTTATGCGAGATGCTCGTTAAGTGAGGATCTACTGTAGTAGGAAAGTCGTATTTTGATTATACTGTTACCACTTTTAGCACCTTTTAGCACCTTTACGACCTTTAGCACATTAAGCCTGCAATGCTCTATTGCCACATGGTGTTGCCTGCAATCGTCTGATGCGTCATATTCCCCATCCCCCCTCCCCCTGTTTTTGGGTTGTAACCCTTTTACAAATGGAAATAATTTGAACACACAATGTTAAACTTTATTGTATTTTATTTTGCATTTTTCGTCGCGCTGGTATACAAGCTGTAGGAATTTATGGGTCATCGAGGGGCCATGACTCGGATACTAATGGCAAATGGAGCGAATGTGGTATCTCGAGATTAAGTACCAGTTTTGCATGGTTTTAGCGGTAGCTAGGCTGCGACATGGGGATGGTCCGATATATGGCTTGTTAAGCATGTCATAGGGGTATTAGTGTTGCTAGTTTTCTTGGCTGTGTCCCTGTGATTGTCAACTAGTGTGGGTGCGCCTTACTAGTTGGGGTCTAATACATGAGCTTCCTCTTTCCTTTTTTGAACAATCAACCCAACCCACCCCCCCCCCCCCCCCCAGCCCTCCCCCTTTTTTATTTTTTTACACATTTTTCTGTGGGGCATGGACCCAAGTTGGGAAACACTTGTCTGATGTGTTTTCTTGTGAGCTCGTCACTTTTTTAATCTTCCCCAAAACCCCGTTTTGTTTCTGCCTCAAAATATTGTAAGCTAAGCATACCGCTTAAATGTCGATTATTAATATTCTTTTGTATTTTTTTTTTTTTTTTTAGTAATTGGCAATTCTCTTCTGTGACAGCTGCCATTGTCACCATACATTTCAATGTGGCTCAGATGTCCGATTCATGAAATCTAGAACCTCTGCCCCTTAACAATCGTGTATTAGTGCTAAGTGGTCTCGAGGCATGGCGTCCGCTTCGAGTGCTAGATGTCCAGAGTTCAGGCCCCGGTGAAGGCTGGGAATTTTTTTTCGTGAACTTCTAGTAATTTTCTCAGGTCTCTTGGTAGTAAGGAAGGTGTAATAATGCACACTTTAAAAAATGTTTTGGCAGTTGGAAATCGAAAAGAGTAGCCAAACAGTGCTTTCGCGCAAAATTTGGAGTTAAAAATCTACCAAAAGTATTTCAGGATCATCAACTGTGCTACGGAGTTCGTGCACTGCGCTGAGAGATTCTTCAGACTCAGGCTTGAGTTAGAAGTAGAACAGAGCACTAATAGGTTACTACCCTTGTGGCATGATATTAGTCCGTTGTTT